TTGAACATATCTTCTAGGTTTTTTCTGACTTTTTTGGATGTCACCTTTGACAAGTCAGCATTTTTGAGGATTTCTATTAGGTCAAAAAAAGAATGAACGCGTCTTCACGATTACCCCTTATGGCATTCCTTAGCTGCCCATCGCTTGGCTCTGCCATTTTCAAAGTGGAGCGCGGCAAAGTGAGCATTCAAAGTGTACAGACAAATGCAAGTCTGCGACACAAATGGCTTAACTTGGATTAAAGGAATTCAAACTTTGATCGCTGAAACAGAAATTATTTTTTGCAATGTTTTCAATATTACCGACGTGACGAAATCTATTTATCGACCCGCAGGAAGCAGATATCGACGAGTTATAAAGTTCAAATACTATCACAGAATGCGAAGGAGAAAAGTGGCTGCAATGTTGATCCTCTATATTCCTTTCCATACGGTGCGGTCGATGATTTGGATTTCAGCAGATAGCTCATCCCATCTGCAGTCCAAGACAAATAACCATATGTTTTTCTTGCACGCTTGTTTCTACAGGGTGACGTCCACAAGAGACCTATCAGCGTTATCTGTACTTCAGAAACGTGAAGAATGCTCTATTAGAGCGACTGAAGATTAAAAAATGAACAGCTTCGCGAGCTGTCTCATGGCCCTCTATTCCTGTTTATTTTGTTTACCTTACAGGTACCATTTTAAACCCCAGAAACCTTTTTGACCGAGGTCATACCTCTGTAGGTCATAGCTGCGAATATTATGGCTAATTGGTTGGGTATTCGCACTAATTTTCCCCAAATTAGCTAAACAGCCTTCAGAGGTTTATGGACAATCCTATGATCCTACACTATTACGTACGTGATAAAAATCATGACCTCGATTCCCCAACGGACTTCCCAAAAAAGGAGTGCTGCAGATGGACGACCAAATGCAGGCATTATTTCTCTTTAGCTTCTTCTAGGCTGTATTCATTCGTGAAAAGAAATCCTGACTTCCATCCAGAAAAACAATAAAATTCCGAATGGTGCGCGCTAGAAGATAATTTTAATGGGTAGCCTACGTTTATGGCGGCATAATTATCCTGCATCTCCGACTCCAAGCACTCTATAATAGACTGTGACTACACTTGGAATGATCTACATGACAACCGTGGTGGATAAAGCTGTATCTCCGTTAAGCAACCATGGTAGGAATATATCAAATAGTCATATATCAAATATAGTATTCTCGGGCTACAGGCTTGCTTAGCTAACCATTAATTCTTCGTATAGTTCCCTTGGTCTCTAGGCTTCGTTTGCTAGCCAATAGGAGTTCCCATAGGTCTTCATCCTCTTTTCTGTAGAGTTTGCCATCTTTGCAAGTGTCACTTCTAGACCTACTTCAGAGATCGAACCATGCCATACTTAGTTTTACACTACAACTCGAATCTGATGAATTATTTTGTTCACAATACGCTTTTTCTATGATTTATAATCAGCAGATTCGGTAGAAGGCGATTTCATATCACCCCCATCGGTAGAATTACTGACACATCTTCATTCCCACAATTGGTGGGTCTCATTTGTAAGTCTGGGAAGGGAATATTTGCAAAGATAGACCTTGCAACGTTTTGGAAGTACTAATTTCTCATCTTTTTCCCTTTAATAAAATAATTAATGTCAAAGATGAAGTCTTCCTCCCCTTACATTTCCGCCGTAGACTGCATATACTCACACATCGATGCCCTGTCAGCACAATCCCCGGACTGGACGGGGGATGCTAACCAGGGGAATACGGGGAAATCCGGGGATGAAGAATTTTTGATCAACGAATTATATTTACAGAGCCCATTTTTCCAGATCTACTTTTTATCAATAAATTATGAATGACATTATCCGCTAACAAAACAATCAATTTGGGGTCTATAAAATGAGAAAAAGAGGACAACGAGAGGAAACGGGTTCAAATCCCCGTCCTGAGCCCCGTCCTGATTCCCCATCCAATCCCGGGATTTCCCCGTCCAACCCCGGGAAAGATCACCAGTTTGGACGGGGCTAAGGACGGGGATTTCAACCCGTCCCCTCGCCGCCTGAAAAAAGTTTTCGCGGCGAGACGTCCCCTTCTTCTCATTTCTTAGGCCCCAAGTTGATTGTTTTGTTAGAGGATAATGTGATTAATAACTTATTGGTAAAAAAGTAGATTTTGAAAAATGGGCTCTGTAGATATAACTTGTGAATCAAAATTGTTCATCCCCGGATTTCTCCGTATTCCCCCGAATTACCTCGTCAAGAGCACGGGGGAATCCGGGGATTGTGCTAGCAGGGAAACGACACTCCCATTCGGCCCTTGATCCGTATTATATTTAAACAAGCAAAGAGGCTGGCAGAAGAAAAATTGTTAGCTGATAAGGTCAACTTTGCTGAAAACTCTTTGTTAAATGTTGCGAAAGTCTTTTTCCGCACAGCAGGGACTCATAGAAAGACCTGACAGTCCACATTTCGAGACGTCCTCAGAAGCCCGATCGCTCACGCAAAGTTTACGGCTAATAGCTTCGACGTTTTCTTTTACAGAACGTGTCTTGATACTTCGGTCGCTTTACTCCCGACCATCCGGCTTTGGACCGATGCCATTTTCAAAACTGTAACCCTTACCTTGCGGGACGTGACCATAGCTCTTCGGCGTTTTCGCCAATGTCCTACTCTTGGACCAGACGATGTCCCGGCCATAGGTAACGAGCATCTGAACTTCATCATCTCCTATTTGGGTGCCCAGCCGCAAGGAATTAAGATTGTCAATGTTATCTCGAACCTCACGCATGTGAGAAATGGAGCAATCCAGGGTAGCGTGCTTGTCTCGCTTTTAATTTGCCTTTTTGTTAATGCTGCTGCAGCTTTTTTCACTATCGTATGCTTTTGATTTACGCGTAAGATTTAAATGTTGCCCATTGATATAAACCAACAGATTGCAGCATCGCGTTCGAGCTCTTCAAAAAGGATCTCCAGGCCTTTTCTCAGTGGTGCTGCACATAGCGCCCTTGCCTTTCTTATCCGGTATGGTTGTTGTCGACGGTCATCAGCCTCAACTAAGCGCAGAGACTCACGCTACAAATGCACCCGGGGTTACTAAGGATCTGGGCATATCATATTCCAATGGTCTTAACTTGTCGGTGTATTTCATCCTGATTGTCTCGAAAACACACCGAACTACCGACTATATTCTCCGAACTTTTAAAACAATCAGTAGGGCAACCAGTATTTACAAAATGTTCGTTAGACCCAGTACGGAATACTACTTGTTGCTAGTTAGCCTCCTGCGTGCTGATGAATGGATAAAATAGAATCTGGGCGGTATTTCTTTACGCAAAGTGTTTTTTCTCCAGAAAAACGCAGGCTGGCATACCAAAGACGTAGTGGGCTTATACAACTCGATCCGTTTTGGCTTCGCAGACTACAAAAGAGACTATTTTTACAATTTAAACTACCTTTAACCCTTTTACTACTCCGAGGTGCTCTCGGGCACCAATTACCGTAATGTTTTTTTACTGCTTCCTCTTACATGTACAGTTAGATATCAATTTGGGATAAGTGACCCCTAAATGTCAAAATTCAGCGAATTTCTCCCTGTTTAAGAGAACTATCACTAGTTCTCTACATCCAGGAAATCTTTAACGTATTTAGGTGCTGATTCGGAATCTTTCCTCCGCTCCGATGGCGTTCACGGATCGCAAGCCCTGTGCCAGGCTGCATGCTGAGGGCAATAGTGCTGAATCTGCAGCCCGTAATCGGCCAATCTTTCAGCCGAGAGCGAGCAACCGTTCGCCAACACACCTTTATCTGGTGCA